ATTCTATTAACCATAAGAACCTGGAGGACATAATACAACATCTGAAATCCTCCTCATGCTGCCTTGATATTCTGCCAACAGGTTTTTTCAAAAATGTTTCTAAATGCATGGCCTCAGAGACAACATACGTGTTGTGGTGGCAGCCCGGCTGACGGTCAGTGTCCTGTTTTTTTTCTCCTTTTCATCAGTTATTCTGCTTTTTCCTTGGTTTTCTGTTCCCTGCCTGCCTCCCTGTGTTTTCTCCCCTGTGTGTGCTCTCTCTCCCTCTGCTCCTGAGCCCAGCCAACGACCCGCACCTGCACCTCATCAGCCACCTCGTCAGCCTGCCACACCTGCCAGTAGTCAACCTCATCCCTGCCTGTATTTCAACCCCGGTCCTCCACACCACTCTTGCTTGATCTTCGTTGCTCCATACCCGGTGCCACCTCCACGTTCAGGCTCTCGTGTTTCTTGTTTTCTCACGTTTTCCCTGTGCTTTGTCTCTGTGATCTCTAACCCTGTCTCTCTGTCTGTTTCCCTCCCGGGTACACTCACCCTCGTCCTCCGTTCAGTCGGCTGGGCTCATCCACCGGTCCTGGGACTTCCCCCACGGCGTCCTCCCTGTTCTCCCTCGCCTCCTCGGCCCCAGTGTTCCCCGGCTCCCTGGTCCCCAGTCTCCTTGGTTCCCCGTGCCTGTGTTTCCCCGGCATCCACCTCTCCCTCCACTCCAGTCCCTCTACCCCTTTTTCCCCTCAATAAACCTCCTTCCCTCTGAGTGCTGCATTTTGGTCCTCTCTGTCCCCACACCACACCACCCTTGTAACAATACGTACTAGACAGACTTGAAAACTGGGTTGGACTTTCTGGCACAGTACTAAAATGGTTTGAATCCTACTTAAAGGACAGGCACTACTTTGTGTCTATAGGTAATTACACATCTGAGCTGACAAAAATTACATGTGGAGTTCCCCAAGGCTCTATTCTGGGACCTCTTTTGTTTAACATTTACATGCTTCCACTGGCTCAGATTATGAAAAACAACAAAATATGTTTCCATAATTATGCAGATTTACATAACCATTTCACCAGGGGACTATGATCCCATACAGGCCCTGAGTAACTGTATTGAGCAGGTCAACAATTGGATGTGCCAGAATTTTCTTCAATTAAACAAGGATAAAACTGAAGTTATTGTTTTTGGAGCCAGGGAGGAACGATTGAAAGTCAGTGCTCGACTTCAGTCTGTAATGTTAAGAACCACAAATCAAGCCAGAAATCTTGGTGTGGTCATGGACTCAGACCTGAATTTGAGGATCCATATTAAGACAATTACAAAGTCAGCCTACTATCACCTGAAGAATATATCAAGGATTAAAGGACTTATGTCTCAGCAGGACCTGGAAAAGCTTATCCATGCATTTATCTTCATTCGACTTGACTACTGTAACAGCGTCCTTACATGGCTCCCTAAGAAATCCTTCAGACAGCTGCAGCTGATTCAGAACGCTGCTGCTTGAGTCCTCACTAAGACCAAAAAGGTGGATCACATCACTCCAGTTCTGAGGTCTTTACATTGGCTTCCTGTATGTCAAATAATTGATTTCAAAATCCTACTGTTAGTTTATAAACTAAATGGTTTAGGGCCAAAATACATTTCTAATCTTCTGCTTCGTTACGAACCATCCAGACCTCTCAGGTCATCTGGGACAGGTCTGCTTTCTGTCCCCAGAGTCAAAACTAAACAAGGAGAAGCAGCGTTCAGTTATTATGCGCCGTATATTTGGAATAAACTCCCAGATAACTGCAGGTCTGCTGAAACAGTCAGTTCTTTTAAATTAAGACTGAAGACTTTTCTTTTTACCATTGCTTTTAATTAAATATTTAAGATTTTTCTTTTTATTGATAACTTACAATGCACTGTAACTTTTACTGTCCTGTTTTCTTTTTCTTTGTTTTTAGCATTTTATCATTGCTTTTTTCCATTTGACTCTTTTAACCCTGATTTTAACACTGTAACTTTTATTATATTTTATGTTGCTTTTAAACTTTTTTATATTTCCCTGTTGCTTTTATGTTTTGTGTAAAGCACTGAATTACCTTGTTGTAAAAATGTGCTATACAAATAAACTTACCTTGCCTTAATAGCTTGGATTTCAGTAGTGATATTTGCAGCTTCAGTGATTTGGTATTAACGTCACAATGACCATTAGATATTTATACTGCACATGGACGATGAAGACTGTGGCTAGATGGTGACACTGGATAAAACATCAGGGTACATCCCTTGGGAACAATAAATAGCCACAGTAAATATCATGGAAATCTGGCCATTAGTTTTCACAATACCTTGTTATCGACTAAACTGCTGAGGCGGAAGGGGGAAATTTTGACCCTTGGCACTACGGAAAAAATAGTTGCTTTAAGATTGTAAACATTGATCTGTCACACAGGAAGTGAAGGACAATTAGGAATGAGAATGTAAAAAGATTTTCTCAAGCAACCTGTGACACTACTACACGAGTACAAATGATGATGTTTCTCTGTACGTTTCTTCTGGTTCATTTTACAGTAAGACAGACAGTAAGAGCATTTTCAACTTCATCAGTAAAAGCAAAATGCAGTGCAAACAGACTTAATGAATTAATCATGACATACATGAAGACTTAATTTAACCCTTCACTAAAGGTTCCACTAAGGATACTGAAGAGACTAAAAATAATGGTAGTTGAAGCATCTGATCTGTGTGGAGTGATGAGGACACTGTAACCTACCTCAGACTAATACATGAGACAAACAAGAGTGCCATCATGTTTTCCACGTTTGAGGTTTGACAGTCTTTTGTGATCCTGTTGCATCCATTTCTTCTGCTCTGGTTTAATGGCACCTGACTGGGAAAATACCGCCAACAACTGTTTATCTTGATGCGCTCAACTCCTAACATTTGCATAACAGTAGTGGATAGAAGTCACGTGTTAATTTGCATCTTCTTTTGCCAACTTTCTTTCAGAAACTTGTTTAAAGTTTCCAGTAAATTGGATATTCCTCTTTCTCGGAGGCTATAGTGTTAGTATTTTATTGCGTTCATAATAGGCTACTTTTCTTTGCTGGATCTTAATTTAATGGTGGTGTCGAGCTGTAATTTCCATTTGTAAACCACTGTGTGACATTAGAAAGGTGTTATATAATTTATACTCGCTTCACATTATTGTATTTTTATGTTTGTATAATCTTATCTCAACCTGCAATAATTCATGTTATGGGCAATTGGGGGGAGCAGAATTTCACACCATATATCACTTTATAAAGTTGATATGAGGAACTTGTTAGAAAACAGTTGCCTATTTACACATCCAGCAGACATGAAGCAACATCAGCATTCATTTGGAGTTGAGTTTCTGGGGTCATTCATTTGGTACTGGACAGATAATGTACAATCAGTTTAAAGACAGGGTAGGTAAGTTTGAGAAACTAGCAAGAAAAGCTGGATTTTTGAAAGTATCCAACAGAGAAACTCCTTCTGGGCTCCTTTCAAAGCCACGCCCCCAAAACATGTGAATGCGCGTTGCCGACTCTGCTGGAGGACGAGGACAGTGTGACGAGCGGAGAGGTTCACATCAGGGGTAAAAAAACATTTAACTTTATTGTTGTGAAAATAAATAACTAAGCCGGTTGTTAGTACTTACTATTAAGCTAGCATGCTAATATTGGATAGGTTCAAAAAGGCTGACTTTGATTCAGTAACGAGTTGGCTAGCTAACTGTTAGCAACAGGTAGCTGTGCTAACAGCATTGGGCAAAGCTAAAAACAGGTTTATACAATTTTCCCATTTCCGTCAATTACACTAAGCGAACGTGAATTCCGTGTTAGACTCGTAACATGTACGTTGTTTTGCATGTTAGAGCTTCCACGGTGACAGCATTATTGTCTCTGACGAGGACTGCACTCCAGAGCCAAGCACAGACCGGGACCGGCCTGGGATCGAGGCGAAGCAGAGGAGGGAGGGCTGCCGGGGTCCGAGTAAGAAGAGGCAGGACGGGAAGGACGAGGTGCAAGCCGAGCAGCACATACCTGCGTCGAGCTTCACACTTCAACAATGGCACATGAACAGGTATATATATTTTAATATTAGTCTATTGTCTCCCAGTGTACTTGTCTCAATGTTTCTCTGGTGTTTCCCCATTAGCCCTTTGGGTGTCAAAAATAAAGTGCTATGTAATCCATCACTATTGTTTTTACTTTTTTATTATTGTTTACTGATTACAACTAACTACAGCTCTGCTTCAGCCATCGGCTCATCTGTGTCATGTACATTGACCTGGTGTGTAATTTAGACACAGAAGTCCTGTTAGAGAACAACAAAGCCCTGTTCAATAAAAATATCTGATCATGTTGATGAATGTTTTTTCCAATTACACAGATCTTTCCCATTCAGAGTTCTAACAACCATATATTCCTTTACAGACCAGAATCTGAGGACTGGACAACATCCAGACTACAGTGTTTCCATGCACCACACATGGCTGAGAGTGACAGTTCAGTCAGGCAGAAAACAGACAGTTTGTAGTGTGGCAGTGTGGAGCACACAGAGTTGTGATACTGAGTTGCTGTTTCTGGAAGATATGGAACTGTTCTCCTGATCCACCAGGACAATACAGAGGTTTAATCCTAGCAGGGTGGAAGATGTAATGTCACTAACTGCTACACAAATAATTCCATCCACTGTGTGGATAAATACCTGTACATTGTTAGTTTATTCCCAGGAGGGTAGAGAAAATACAAAGTATATTTTTCCCTGTTGTGAATATTTTCATTCTTTTTTAAATAAAACATTGAAAATGATTAATGCCTTTTCTTTACACTTGCAACATTAACGATCAAACAACTACATTTATGTCTTATATCTCCAATAATGACATCCAAATGTGGTATAACACTTGTTTATTGTTAATAAATACTACTAAAACTACAATCTATATCACAAATAATCATTTTAAACATCATTCAAAATAAGTATATACAGGAATCGACAAGGTGTGTCCAGAGGTGTCCTGACTGATTATGAAGACGGTTCAGACTTGCATGTAGCATCATATCGCTGCTGTGGAGATGATTACATGATTACCACATTTCAAAACCAATCATATTACTTTTTGATTTATATTTTTGCTGTATCTAGAAACGCAGTTGGGGCAGGGACACCTGACTGAACCCCATGTTAACGGGGATAATCAGGTCTCCTGGTTCTGCTTCTAGGCATCTCCTCAGTAGTAGACAACCGTCGGAGGAGGAGGAGGAGGATGGCAGTCTGCGATGTCAAGCTCCACTTTCTGGACTTTTTGTTGTACACCTTGCTGTACCTGATAATACAGAAAGGAGGATCAGCTTAGTGAAAAGTTTGTAATACCTGACATTATTCTCTAACAGAGCAATTAGCATTTCCACATAAAATGCAATCAAAACAATAAATCAGCACCATCTATCTGTATTCCTCATACTGTTTAATATTTTTTGACTCATCACTTATAATTGTATTGAGTAAAATGCACAAGAGTACTCATAATGCAACATACTGAACTGTGTCATCAGCTTTTCTCCTGGCTGGACTGTGGACATGGTGGTTGTAATCCAGGCCAACCAGCATGGTCCAATCAGCGTATACTGGTGAGAAGTACAGGGCTATGAAAAATTTCAAATCTGCAGGTGACCTGAGGGCAGAGTAGAAATAAAACATACAGGACTTTTTTTAACTTCTGGTAAAATAATAATAATAATGGCATAACAGCAGCAATTACAGTTAAAGGTTTTCACACAGTAGGTTTAGCTATGAACAATGTCAAACTATATTATAGGTAGCTTATATTCCAGAAACACAGATACTTGGGGACCTTTAGCCATCATTGTTTATGTATACTAAGGTTGAAATGTCTTTCTCATAACTACAAACACAGCTACATCACCGCATTTGTAAAAGTAACATACAGTCAAACATCTGCAGACACAAGATAATCACACAAACAGATTAGATACAAGGTAAAGATAACGTAAAGTTAGGTGTAAACATAGTATAACAATAAACCTATATGGTGAATAACTAAACCGGCGCAGTCTACACTTTCATTGTCTTACCTAATGTTAGCGTCGGAAAATACAGTTCGCGCTGCTGTTTTCCAGCTCACCTACAGCTAGATATAATTCATCATCTCAACTCTGGCTCGTACACCAGCCTGCACTCGTAGCAACAGTTAGCTGTATGCTAACGATGAAAGTAACCAAATCAAATATATATCAAGTAATCAAATTGATAAAAGCCAGATTACCTGTCCAGCAGAAATAAAGCCACCACGCTGTGTTAGCCCCTCAGTGTTCCTCAGTAGTCACTATCGTTGAAAAGCCATGCAGATATCACCCACCAGTCTGACCGCTTCGCTCGTCAGGTCTGAGCGAGCTGACCGGGTGTCCTGTAGCAGCATGGCTGGTAGCCATGGCAGCGAGGGAGAGTGACAGTCAGCCAGAATTTGTATCCTCAGACCTTAAATTAGGTCTCAGCAACATCCTCACAAAGGCACAAAGTCTTTCTAAACTGTCAACAAAAAATGAGAGTAATACAACTCTTGCCAACAGGCATGCTGGCAGACAAACAATACAATCCAGCCAATGCTCAAGAGCAGTCACACAATTCAAAATAATCTTGAATGGCGTTAATTGTATTTGTGGTATTGTAGAGGTATAACTGTAGATCATTGTAAGGAGGTGTTATCAGATACTTTAGTATAATTAGTTATTATTAGCATACATTCATGACACCTGATGTGGCTTGCGACCTCTGACCTAATTCAAGTCCATTTTCAATTCAATTTTATTTATATAGCACAAAATCACAACAACAGTTATCTCATAGCGCTTTTCATAAAATAGCAGGTCTAGACCATACTCTGTGATGTTTTTTTTACAGAAATCCAACAATTCCTACCAAGAGCAAGAACTAGGCGACAGAGGCAAGGAAAAACTTAATTTTAAGAGGCAGACACCTCGAGCAGAACCATGGCTCAGGGTGGGCGGCCATCTGCCTCGACCGGTTGGGTGAGAGAGAGAGAGAGAGAGAGAGAGAGAGAGAGGGAGAGAGAGGGAAAGGGAGGGATGGTGGGGGGGAACAGCCTACACAATATACACACAGAGGTACAGACAGTAAAGTAAGGTAATGTTGCTATAGACTGAATGAGTAGTGGTACAGATATTTATAGTAGTGTTTATGATAATAATCGTAATGTTAATGATAATAATAATAATAATAATAACAACAACAATAGGACTAGTAGCAATAATTGTAGCAAAGGGTGTCCAGCAGGAACACGGGGGCAGCAGGTGACCCGCAACCACAGATCCAGACTCCACAGCTCCAGAGCCAGAAACACCTGCAGGAAGTAATAGGAGGAGAGATGAGAGGGACGAGAAAGCACAAGACTACGGGAAAGGGGAGAAGTTGAGTTAGTAACATGCACTAACCTCAGTGCATCATGGGAAGTCCCCCAGCAACAACACCATCAGCTTAATGGACTAAAGTGATGTGAACAGTAAAGTTACTAAAACAACATCAGCGCTGCAGTAATACCTTCACCACCTAAAACCTCCACCACCTAAAACCTCCAGAGTGTGGCAGTATTTCACTCTTCACTCAGCCAAAAAGGTTGTTAACTGCCGCTTCTGCAAAGCTGAGCTTTCCTGGAAACACCGGAGCATCTGAAGCTGAGGCGCGTAACGTTGTTGCTCTGTGGATGATGAAGACTCGTCTCGGTAAGTTAGTTAGTGAGCTAGCTTCCCATTAAAGCCGTTTTACTTCATGCTATGAGCTGTAACGTTTTCTATACAAGCAAGATGTCTATGAAGATTCTCAGTCATCCAGGTCATAGTTATCCAATGAAGGTTAAAATCAAGGGCAACTGGACTAGGTTGAAGATACTGGAAGACGTTTCGTCCCTCATCCAAAGGACTTCTTCAGTTCTGACTGACTGGCAGGGAAACTCAGCTATTTAACCTCAGTGGGGTCGTTGGCCCGGGTCATCGATACCGCTGGTTCGTTAGTGTTCCTTGCTGCTGTGACGACAGTCGTTACAGTCGTTAAGACTTCCTGTGGCCAAGACTGAACGACCATAGTTGGTATCTTCACATGAGGCCAATAGGTTACGTTTGTTGAGTTTCCTGGGAAGTGATGAAAGGACAGCATTGTAAGTGGGGGAGTAGACCCCCTCCCCTGTTCAATGACGGCTTCTCAACCCTTTCAAACCATCCATCTTCTCTGTCTAAAATGTGCACCTGGTGGTCCTCAAACGAGTGTCCTCTGTCCTTCAGATGTAAGTAGACTGCAGAGTCTTGACCTGAGGAGTTGGCCCTTCTGTGTTGAGCCATGCGTTTGTGTAGTGGTTGTTTAGTCTCCCCAATATACAGGTCTGTGCATTCCTCACTGCATTGGACCGCATACACTAGATTGCTTTTCTTGTGTTTGGGTGTGCGGTCTTTGGGGTGTACCAGCATCTGTCTTAGTGTGTTCTTGGGTTTAAAAAACACAGGGATGTTATGTTTGTTGAAAATCCTCCTGAGTTTCTCTGATACTCCAGACACGTATGGAATCACAATGTTGTTGCGTTTGACCTTCTTTTCCTCCTCCCCTGTAGTTTTGTTCTTCTTGTGGCTGTTTTCACAAAGGTCCATTTAGGGTATCCACAGGCTGTAAGTGCCCCCTTCAGGTGGTTCTGTTCCTTCTCTCTTGCTTGGGCGCTTGTTGGTATGTTTTCCGCTCTGTGGTGCAGTGTTCTCATGACCCCTAGCTTGTGCTCCAGTGGGTGGTGTGAATCGAAGAGTAGGTATTGGTCTGTGTGTGTGGGTTTTCTGTAAACACCAATCTGCAGGCTCCTGTCCTCTTCAATGTGTACAGCGCAGTCCAGGAAGGCCAAACTGTTGTTGTGAACATCTTCTCGTGTGAACTTGATGTTACTGTCCACAGAGTTGATGTGTTCTGAGTTCACATACTTTCTAAAGAAGAGAAAACGGTTCTCCTGTCAATGCGTGAGGCGGCGGCTAATCCGCCCCAAACTGCCTTAATAAAATAGGAGTTTTGTGAGTTGTTAAGTTAGGGGAAATATATAAACGTTGTGAAACGCTGTCTAGTATAAAATCGTTAAATAACTATTATAATAATTATTGACCCCACTGTAAATTTGGCAAATGTAATGCATGGCGTTATTCCTTTCTTTGTATATGGTCTCAGTCACTAAATAGCAGATCAGCTGCTGAGATCAGGACTTGATTTCAGAGGAATTTTCTGTTGCTGCAGCAGAAACGTTCATTAAAAGATGCATTTTTGAAAGCAGTATTTATTTTAGTGTTGACTGTTAATTAGCACATGCCTAAAACAACCTCAAGTTTAATTTAAAAGCTGATGGCTAAATGAGACACATTGTGTAATTTTGCAATTCATAATCCGAATAGTCGATTATTCGTTTCAATAATCGATAGATTAATTGACTATCAAAATAGTCGTTAGTTGCAGCCCTACTCTTTAAGATAAGATGGTGCCTGACCATTAAGAACTTTGTATACAGCAATTGTAAAAAAAAGATAATCTTGCAGAGTGGTGTACAGCGAACAACCTACTGCTCAATATCAGCAAAACTAAGGAGCCGATCGTTGATTTCATTAAAAAAAAAGGCAAAGACACACACTCGTGTCTGCATCAGTGGTGCTGAGGTGGAGCAGGCGAATGGTTTCAGGAATCAGCATCATGGAGAAGCCCACATGGTCATCTCATATATCCACACTGGTGAAGAAAGCTCAAAAACGACTGTATTTCTGGAGGAAGCTTCAGAAGGCCACCTGCCTGTCAAGGTCTTGTCAGTTTCTACAGAGGAGCAATAGAAAACATCCTGACTGAAAACATCACTAACTGGCATGGGATTTGCACGGCCCAGGGCTGGAGCCTGTTCACCCTGCTGCTTTCTGGGATCAGGTATAGAAGTTTCAGCTGCCGCATCACCAGACTGCAGAGCAGCTTTTTCTACCAAGCTATCAGACTTTTAAACTCAAATTCATCCTCAGCACTGCTCCATTGAATGTAGTTTATCATTTTTATAATTGCTTTTTATTAATGTATATTGTCTGTTAGGTAGCAGAAGGGAGTTACAAACTCAATTTCACTCTATTACCTGTGATATTGTGACAGTTATGTGTGGTTGAGGTTAGAGAAGTTGCCTCGGGGGGGTTGTCAACTCCTTAAACAAAAACATCGCTATATTTACTGACTTAGGTTTAGGCACTAACTAATGCCATGGTTGAGGTTAGGGAAGTTGCCTTGGGGGGGTTGTCAACTCCTTAAACAAAAACATCGCTAACTAACTAGCTAGCTAGCTAGCTAGAGTGTGTGTTTTATCATAAGTATCTTACTGTCACCAGGATGGTCTAATTATACTCTGTTGATAGGAACTACTTTTTCTTCCGCCTGTCAAAGTCATGCTTGCACTACAGCTCTGTGACAGAGCTTCTTTGAAGTGAGCCGCTGCAGCCCTTTACATTTCCCGCAATTGAATACTGACTCTGGCTGACTGTAAAAACAGTCATGTCTGGCTGTATTTTAGCTGTAAAGGTAATAATGAGGTGTGTGATGTGTATGCAAAGACAGTGAAATACTTTGGCAACACCGAAAACTTTGCTAAACATCTGAGATTAAGTCTGTCACAATAATAGGATGATGTTATGAAGCGGCAGTTCTGACCAGGATATTTGTCTTATAATTAAAGATTAAGACAGTAGTTTTATGTCATTATGCTGCTATTATTTTGAATTGGTAAGGCTACAGCCTACTCCTTATTTCTCTCATAAATACAGAAACGGGAGGGGGGAGGTCACATTAAACTATCAATAAAATATGTAAAAAGTATTGTTATTGGTATTGGTATCGGCAGTACCAGCCTGGGTATTACTTGGTAGTGAATCGTATAGGAATTAAATGGTATCACACATCACTATCAGAAATGTAATGTAATGGGTGGCGATGGCACAATGGCTAAGACTATGCCTATCCCTCACTGTGACCCATCCACCATTGTGTCCCTGAGCAAGACACTTAACCCCTAGTTGCTCTAGAGTTTGTGTCAGAGGTGTGTGACCGCACTTTGGATAAAAGTGTCCGCTAAATGAATAAATTTAATGGTAGCCTGTCATCCTGTTGACAGGATGTAGTACGAGAGCGATAACATTTTTGATCTCTTCATTCATGCATAATTTCAGGGGCAATTCTGTAATAATGCTGCCTGTAAAATGACCATTTTATCATCATGATTACTCTGCCTGGGAAATGAAGTCCTGTTGAGGGGGTAAACCTCTCACTCTCTATCTCTGCCATCCGTGACAGTTGTCCTGTGTGCAAGCCATTTTACTTTTTGGAGGATATTAAAGCCTTTCAACTCTTATTCCACACAACGCTGAAGTTAATTATTAATGGCATCAATTTACAAAAGCTAAAACATGTTAACTCTGATATGAAAATCAGAAGAACATAATCCATCATTATAACTCATAAGGTTTTGTCAACATCTCCCTTGACAAAACATCCACTATTTAATGTCAATAGTGATGTGTGTGTGTGTGTGTGTGTGTGTGTGTGTGTGTGTGTGTTTCGAGGACAGGATATGTCTGTATAGTGAGTTTTGCCCTGCCTGGTCAGAGATAGAGGTGTTTATTGGAACGAAGAGTTCTGCCATTTCCTACGACTCTCTGACCTCACATCCTGACATGATTCCTGTTCATCTGTCCAAAACTATGGTCCTCTGGAAAGACATTCATCTTTGACACAACATCAAACTAAAGGAAAAGGACATAGTTATAAAGATTGTCTGTCAGTACCCTATATCAATCGCTTCTTATGTGCCAGCTGTGTTGTATTCCAGCTCAAATGCCACTTAAAATAAAGGTATGGTATGAAGTGCAAATCGCGCAGAACAAAATCTTGTCAAACAGATGTTAAAAACCCCATCTCAAAACCCTTTTTAAACCTTTGTCTAACTCATTCAATGATTCCCTTACTTAAAAGTTCTGTCACAGGGAAATATTGCTTAAATTATTTCTGCTTTAGCAGTCTTTTTGCAGATGAAATATGAAAAGATCTTGCTGCTAAAGAGGGATGATTCATGTTGCGTTATTCAGTTTTATTGCACAGTCCATCAAATCCTTGGCTATTATCAGTGAAAAGTGAGAGGGAAAAGAGCCAGGAAGGAGGAGATGGATTGGAGAAGTTGAAGTGAAAATACGGGAAGGCTCAAGACAAATCACACATTGCTTACATTTGTCTGAATTTAAGTGAGCTTTGCAGGAAAAGACACCAAAATAATTTACTTTGTGCCAAAGAGAAACATTGCTCAAGATGCACTGCTTTGTTTTGAAGTAATATACACTAGAAAAGTCAGAAAAGTATCCTTAAAAGGCCAGTGGTCTTATTTATGGGGCTTGATGTTGGTATGGTGACTTCCAGAATGCGCACAGCGATCTTTTAAAACACAATAATACAATATTTACAGGAAAGAAAAAATAAATAAAAATAGCATCTACATCACTCCACATTCAAAGTTTGAACATCAGATCACTGTGATTTATGTATTAATATTTATTTGTTGGGCACGTGGAAAATGGAACAAGCTGTAAAGTTGATGTGTTGCCGATTTAGATGTCCAGCAGACACGGAGCAACGTTAGTGTTCATTTCATTTGCTCTGTTTTGTTTTCCACTAACTCTGATCTGGATCTGGCTCTTCTGCTGCTAAATGCTCCACTATGTTTACCAACTAGTCACTAGTACAGTGGCAGAGGGTTTAACAGCGGCTTGCTGCAGCCGAAAACGAAGGTGATCAGAAGCATCAGAGTGAACCAAAACAGCTCTATAACTCTATAACTCTTTTTATTTTTATTTTGTGGGGTGGAGAAAAGGTTGCTAAAAGGTCACATATTTTACTTCCTTATATCAGCAATTGCTCAACACAAGGCAGTCATGTTCTTCATTCAAAGGAAATTTGCCCCCCCCCATAGCATTTAAAGGTACAGTGCCGTGGGAATCTATCTTCAGAGGGTGTCAGAGGTTTGAACAGTACCCAGATGCAGACCAGAGCCGGTGGTAAGACAACAGAGGTTTATTAATACCAGAGAGAACATTCAACTGAAGGGCAGAATAGGTGGTGGAAAAAGGAATACGGGCTGAGTCCGGGTTCCGCTGACAGTGGGAGAAAGTGAGAGGGAACTGGCTGGTGAGGGGGGATGAAATCCAGACGGGAGTGTTGGCAAGCTGGGCAGGCAGGAGATCCAGGAGACTGATCAATTTCCTTAAAGCAGAGAAAATAAAGTGGTTAATCGGGCAGGCAAGCAAAACACAAGACTAGAAACTAGACTGACAAGAAAGCTGGCGTGTGGTAGATTCAGAGGACACAACAATCCAGGAGTGCAGAGCTGGCCAGTGGCCTGTAGGCTACTACGAAGCGAGGTAACTTGAGGAGTAACTTCGTGACGTCGGGTGTAACTTCCCGGTTAACCCGTACTACAAAAGGGGGATAGTTGTTACCCGAGGTCTGTTGCCATGGCAATTTACGCTGCATCTCTAAACTGCTCCGAGCAGGTTGTGTTGATGGTTGACTCGAGGTTACCCTGCACGCACACTACACACCACATGTGTAGTCAGCGTTAATGATGAGAAGTAGGTAATTATTACACACCACTTCATAAAATATATTTAGATTTCATCCTGATTTGTTCCACTGCGGTTGCAGTTCTGAACACAACAGCATTACATTCAGACAGCGAGCCCTGCAGCCTCTGTGATTTTAGAGAGGAATCTTAATTAACGGGACAGTTGAATTCGCCTGTTTGTTTTCACATATTTATATAGACTATTTTACATATCCAAAAAATAGGGAGCCAGGGTCGGGGTTAATAACCAAGAAAAAAAATCCTAGATGAAAGTGTGAAACTTACAAGAAGAAAATTCCCTGAAATTAATGTCGTAAAAAAAAATCATTCTGGTGTTTTCTTCTGAATACGCCGAATCCAAGGCAAAGTCTCTAAGTTGCATGATAGTGATTTTGAGCTAAACACAGTATTTAAGTTTAATATAACTTTCCAATGCATGCATAATAGCCTACATGGCAGACATGTGTGTGATGTTGCAGCCTTACAAAGTGAAGTTTCTCTCATAAATGTGTGACTATAATGTCAGAGAATATTAAAGTTTTTTACTTGTAGATTAATCTTGGAAATTATTTTGTCTCGGATTATTAACCCTGTCCGCTGGCTCCTTTTCTTTCTACAATGGACCTTATGTGCAGTTCTACCTTTACATCTTAATCATATTACACTTAAAAGAAGAGCCCATAAAATACATACACTAAGTACACTGTGAAGATAATTAGGCTACAAATTTACTCAATGCGATGCCAAAAAGCCTCCCTGGGTTTGTTGGCCACCACGGTGTTAGATTTGGCCTAAATGTGTCTTTACACTCTTCATATCCTGACACAATCAATGTGCATTCTACTGTGGAAAATACGGAGCACGCGCCGTTGTGAAAACCTCTGTCTACACGGCTGAACACACCCCTCAAGACACATCGACTCCACTAACCAACATCTTATCCACCTTTGTAGTAGGCCTGCCGTTTAATACCAATGTAGGCAGTCAGAGTTTGTCAACTCTGAGTTTGCCTGTAGGCTACTTCGAAGGGTGATCGACCTATTCAGAGTTAGACCTAACTCGGGGTTATCAGGCAAACTCTGACCGCCTACACTAGAGTTAAACAGTACTACAAAGGTGAATAAGATGTTTGTTAGTTGAGCCCGTGTTAACCCGTTGTTAACTTAATTGAAGTTGGTGCGCGTTCGCATAAAAGGGGCATGTTTGGCCGTGCAGGTAGAGTTTTTTCGAAATGGCGCATGCTCCATATTTCTCCAGAGGAATGCACATTGGTAGTGTCAGGAAATTATGAATGTAAAGACAAGTTAACGGCTAAATCTAACATCATGGCGGACGACAAAGCCAGGGCGGCTTTTTGGCATCGCATTGAGTAAATTAGCCTAATTATCTTCACAGTGTTCTTATTGTAATTCAAATCTCTATTATGTAGGCTATTTTATGGGCTCTTCTTTTATGTGTAATATGATTAGGCTAAGATGTAAAGGTACAACTGCACATAAGATCCATTGTAACAGAAAAAAAAGGAGCCAGAGGAGAGGGGTAATAGCAGAGCAGAACAGAATTTAATTTCCAAGATTAATCTACAAGTAAAAAACTTGAACAGCTGTTAACTGTGAGTGACTAATTTGGATTTGAATCTTCAAAATCACAGTATCTTACAGCATATATTCATGCAATTAAGTCAAATATGTCAGTACCTGCAAGTATGTCAGCGTAAGAGCAGTTTTATGTATGAATGCAGTGAAACAGAAAAACATGGTAGTGCTGCAAAATAAGGTGGATTAAAAGGAGTGGTTACAAAACAGCTGTAGTGTGTGAAAGATATACTGCAACATCATATAAGGCAGATGTGTGTCCTTTTCAGAATAGCAGGGGGCTGTTGGAGCCTGCAGGCAGGGTGATGAAATATTTGCAGAGAGAAACAAAGCACTTCCTGTATGAGGCGGGCAACTTGTACAAACGGCTTCCTGAGCATCAGACCAGCTCAGTCAGGTTGAGCTTGAAACTGACAGGAACACAAGATGGGAGGAAAGGCCAAGCAGCACTGGATTCATGAAAACAAAAGGAGACTATCGGTTTTGCCTCAGTGAAAGTGAACTGTGTGACTGCCATCCATGTGTGTCCGGGGCTGGCGGCTGAGCAATGCGCCTTCATGGTCCATCAAGTTGTTCTGATGCCTTTTCAAAACACGGCTCTCCTTCTGTCTCACTGCAACATTTTAATAGAGCTTACTTCTTGATTTTCTGTTTTAAACATATATATGCAAATCTAAATCTCCCTTCTGTCTGACTTGGACAAAAAAAAAAAACTGTTGCACTTGGCTGATCTCTAATCATCTCATGTTGTAGTCTATGGCTGAATCCCAATCTCCACACTCATGGACTCAGAGGTACATTCCCGGTAAGTCCATGAGGGCATGGGCTGTCCCACTGTCAAATTGTCAAGCACATGAGGGCTCTCTCTCGCAGACCTTTTGAGCCCTTTGTGGGCTCTGCAGACTTTGCCTGACGGAATTACCCACAGTTCATAGTGTTGTGACGTTAATAACGGGGTTTCCAGGAGAGCTGGCATAAACAAACATGGAAGCAGCAACTACAAGAAAAAAGTATACATGTAAGTGTATGATCCTGTTCTGATAAAAACAAGAACAGGGATTATTTGAAAATGACCTCTCGTCCAAAGGTAGAGGTCATTTTAAAATAATGACTTTACTCAAGAGCCTGGAACATGTTCAAATAAGACAGTCCTTTCAGTGCCTCAGCCATAAATAAAGTACAAAATCCAATCTCTTTATTTCTAAGCACATTTTAAACAAACAGGTTTATCAAAGTGTTGTACATTGACTTGAAACAATAAATAGACAAAAAACACCAAACAAATACAACATACAGCTCTCATGCCAGATTAAAAGCCATGGAATAAAAATACGTTTAAGTCGCAATTTAAAAAACGGAAGACTGGGGGCCAGTCTGTAAAATAAAAATGTACCTAACCCACAGTTGTTTTGGCATGTTGCAGTGCTGGCCCATTGTACCATTTCGGGCCCTTGCAGCCTCTCGGACAGAGGCAGAGGGTTCAGGGCTTTGGCTTTAGGGCGGAGATTTGATTTGGCCAATGTCTACAGAGCCCACCTGCTTGTTCTCACACTTTGATAGACCGTTGGAGTTAAATCCAATGGACAGAGTGCAAGACAAGTTTGTTTAAAGTTATCACACATGCCACATGCTGAGAACATTCACTTGGTCAATCACTGTCCTTAAGTAAAGTGCAGTATAAAATGTAATGATGCTATTTCTGGGAAAAGTAGATTTAACTTGAAGCATTTACATTACTGCACAAAAGTGCTTTCACACTTGTCCCACAGTATTGTGAAGCCTTGTAACTGGGACAACTAAATGCATTAGGGGCATAATTAATATTCACCTGTGCTTTGCAGTAAGAAAGGTCATTACTGTATCTGCTCAATACAAGTGTGTTAAGAACAAATGCTCAAGAAGAACATCAATACATTTTAAACACCATTAGTGCATCAAAGACATTAAGGGTTGGGGGGAAGTTAAGAAAAGGTCAAAAGTAACTAAATTCCTCTCATGTTGACAAGTGGAATTTCCCAGCAGCAAGCAGATGCAAGATTTTTTTTAAAATCCTATATATGAGTGGAAATTGTTTGCAGTGATGTGATAACCATTTCAGTTACAGAAAAGAAAAAAATGTCATTTATGTATAGGGGAGACCGCGTAGGGTTGTAACATGGGGAGAGTTGTACAACACCAATTCCACCAGTTACAGATAAGATTGAGTCATGAGATGATTTGAGTATTTACGTACTTCATTCCAATCACACATGGTGGTGGTCAAGGCTGGAAACAGGCACATTCAGAATGTATAGAGAAAATTTAGATTTTGAGGTAAGACAGTAACATTTTTGGAGACTGTATTTTGTTTCGTATATACACACTATTGCAAATAGAAATGTATGACTTAGATTAAATTGTCATTTCTTAGGCAACATGTGATGCATTTTCCTCTGCTAATTTCAAACCACTATGCTAACACAGCTAGCTAAACAATGGCTGACAAGGGGTGTGTTGTAACACTTCTTTAAATAATCCTATGCAGTCTCTGGGCCTGCACTCCAGGGTTACCAGCATTAATTTGTCAGCACTGTGAAAAGTACTCCTCTGTTGTTCACATGTTGGCATGTGTATCGGCACCAATGTATACTGCATATCTGTGAATACCAGCTCACTTCAAACACTTACAGAGAAGACATTGTTCTTTTATTTCACTTTACCTGTTTTTGAAGCAAATCACACTGTATGTCATCCATTCTTGCCTCTTGTCTAATTGTTACAACTTACCCCAGTATGTGCATCAGCCAGAACATTATCCCTGCCACGGATGTATCTGACTTCCACATTGAAGGTCTGCAACCGCAAACTCCAACTCATTAATCGTCTGTTCTTATTCCGCATTTTCTGCAGAAAAACCAGCGGATTATGGTCCGTATAAACCATCACATCAATAGATGAGCCAACATAAACATCAAAATGTTCTAAAGCCAGGACAAGTAAAAGAACAGCGCCCACGCCAGTGTCACTTGCATCTACAGCCAACTTAAAAGGATGATCAAACCGAGGCGCTGCAAGAACAGGGGCTTTTACCAGCAAGCTTTTGGTCTGATTAAATGCCAACTGACAAGTATCGGACCATACAAACTCCACTTTTGGGCTTAGGTCTGTTAAAGGTGAGGCTATAGCAGAGAAATTTTTACAAAACCCCCGATAATAACCAACCATCGCTAAATAACGGCGGAGCTCAGTTCGGGTGGTTGGAATAGTGAAAGCCTCGATACACTCCACCTTCGCCTTAAGAGGTCGAACTTGACCTCCCCCACCACTTTTCCAAGATAAGTCACTGTTGCTTGTCCAAACTCACACTTTAACAGGTTCACAGTTAAACCTGCCTCTTTCAGACGACGAAACACTGTATGCAGATGCTCCTGATGAGTCAGAACAGACCACCAGATCAAGATACGCTTCACAGAATGGAACAACAGATAGAACAACATTCATTAACCGCTGAAAGGTAGCCGGCGCGTTTCACATTCCAAAGGCAAAGAAAATCATCGGGCATGACGAATGTGAAATCTCCTTTGCCCACTCAGTCAATGGTACTTGCTAGTATCCTTTTAGTCAGTCTAGTTTTGTAACAAACTTGGCACCCCCAATGTGATCCACACAATCCTCCATTCGAGGAAGAGGATAACAATCAGGCTTTGTCACCCCATTCACTTTTCTAAAAATCAGTACAGAAACAATCTTCACCATTAGCTTTATCAGCAAGCAAACACGGAGAGCTCCACGCACTACAGCTGGGCTCATGCTGTAGCATATAGTCCACTTGTTCCTTAAGACGGCGACGTTTGTCTGGATTTACTCAATACGGATGTTGTTTAATGGGCTGTATATCCACCACATCAGTGTCATACTTCAGCAAGTGAGTTTGAGATGGAACGTCAGCAAACAGTGATTTATTTACTCACCCTCACCCTCCCCTGCACCAGAACTGGACCCCGTGTCCGGCTACATCTGTTGCCTGTCACAGTAAGACTTTAGCATATTAACATGACATAGACGAGATCTACGGCAGCGATCAGGAGTGGCTATCAGGTAGTCTATCATCAACCTTCTTCTGAACCACATAAGGCCCGCTGTAGCGAGCCTGCAAACTAGACCCAGGAACCGGCAACACAAACCTTATCCCCAGGCAGAAATTCTCTATTTTGAGCACGTTTATCAAACCACACCGTCATCCTGCCCTGCTTCAAGATTATCCCCAGCTATCTCACAAGCTCTGCGTAATTTAAATCTGAAGTTACTCACATAGTCCAACAAGTTTTGTTCTGTCCCCTCATACAGCCACTTTAAGTAACTTCAATGGCCCACGCACAGTATGGGCAAATACTAACTCCGATGGACTAAACCCCAAAGACTCCTGAACCACCTCCCTTACAGCAAACATCTGCATGTGAACTTCTTCATCCCAATCTTTCTCGAACTCCAGGCAATAAGTACACAACATGGTTTTTAATGTCTGGTGAAAACGTTCAAGTGCACCCTGACTCTCAGGATGGTATGCACTAGAATGACAGTGTTTAATATTTAACTGCTTCAGCACCTGAGCAAACACCCATGACATAAAGTTTGAACCCTGGTCGGTTTGTACAACCTTCGGCAAACCAAACAATGAAAAAAAACTTTGTCAAAGCCTTCAAAACCACTGGAGTTGAGATCTTCCATAAAGGGAACACTTCTGGTAATCGAGTGGATGCACAAATCACAGTCAACAAAAACTTATTACCAGTTTTTGTACGAGGCAGGGGGCCCACACAGTCAACCAGAACCCGTTCAAATGGCTCACATACCACCGGAATCTGATATAATGGAGCAGGAGGGATGGTCTGGTTTCCTAACTTCCTGACATAGATGACAAGACTTACAGTAACGTGAAACATCCCTCATTAACCCAGGCCAAAAGAAATGGCGCAAAATACGATTATACGAGGACTATCACGAGCCAGATTCAAAATCTCTGCTCGATATGCACATGGAGCTACAATTTGGGTCACAGCCCTCCAGTCATCTGCAGCAGATGCACTGGATGGCATCCATTTACTCATCAGCAAACCATCTCACAAAATAACCTGTTGACAGAAGTACAACTTTCTCTCCAGCTATTGCATCTTCAAACAAAGGAGACAACATAACAATTTTTCTGCGCATCAATCAACTGTTATACGAGATAAGGATAAACGCTCAGCCTCAGGAAAGGTCTCTGCCCTTGTGGCATTACTCTCAGCCCCCACTGGAGAAAATGAGTGACCATTATCTGGATCAACAAGAAAACTTTCACTGAAATCAATTCCCTCCTCATCCTGTTTACACAGATCGAGTAACAGCACATGCAGTAAAAACCTTGGGAAACTTGTGAGCAAGCTCATCAGGAACCTGCCTAACAGGAATCGGCGTCACTTCAGTTTTAACCAACACCTTTCCACCGGCCAAATCATTCCCCATCAAAAAGGCAATCCCTTTTATAGGGAAACCAGGACGCACCCCGACAGACACCTCTCCTGACACAAGGTCAGACTCCACACAGACCCTATGCAGAGGCACATCAACGTCTTCCATACAAAAACCCAACACAGGAACGTCAGAACCCACAGCAGACTCATTACCGAATGGCAAAACTCCTTCCAAAATAAGAGACTGGGAGGCAGCAGTGTCCCGCAGAATCTTTACCGGCACTTTAAGTTTGTTACCAGGCAACGAGACAACACCATCCATAATAAAGGGAGTAAATACAGTCAGGTCACTAGACATGTCTTTAGACAACACAGGTTAATTTAAATTTTTATCAAGTTTGTTTACTAAAGCTAAAGGCTTCACACTTCGCTTTTTCAACACAGGACAGCCTGCCACAATATGTCTTTTTTTTTTTTTACAATAAAAGCACATGATGTCTTTTACCTTCAACTCATCCTCAGCATCAAGCTCTGAGGGACCAGCATTTCTGCCCCCCTCAACGACTTCACTATGCCTATCCTTCCCAGTAGGAATCAGGTTCTCAAAAGGCTTACAAACATTCCAAAAAGGACGATCTACAAAGACATTCTTATGTGTAAGCACATATTCGTCAACTAAGACAGCAGCCTTAAAAATATCACAGACCTTATGTTCATTTAAGTAAGTTGAAACTCGCTCTGGAAGACTGTTTTTAAAGTCTTCTATTAATATTAACGGTTTAAGCTGTGCAAAAATCGCCAACCTCATTAGATGTACACCAGCGATCAAAAAGGGTCTCCTTCTCCCGAGCAAATTCAACATACGTCTGATGGCCAAACTTTTTCAACCGGCGAAGCTTTTGACGGTACGCCTCCGGCACCAGCTCATATGCTCTAAGCACAGCGGTTTTTACTTCAAAATCAAGACTGTCTTCCGTCGGAAGTGATGAGTAAACAGTCTGCGCTTTACCACTCAGAACGCATTGCAACAACAATGTCCACGTCTCTTTTGGCCACTTCAGTGTAGAAGCCACCTGCTCAAATAAGGTGAAATAGTTGTCAACATCCTAACTGAATGTAGATTGATGACGATACACAGCAACACAAGTAAAAAATAATAATAAAAAAAATAGCGGCGCGTAAAAGGTATGAAAGAGCTTTTATCTCACAAAGTGTTGTCAGGGGCCTATCACTTAACTGTGCCACACAGTGTATTATCCATAAAAAAGTTTTTTGAAATAAGTTTTGTTTGTTTCACAAACATTAGACTAGTCATTAGTTGCCATACAAGAGATGATCAGTTTACCTTGAGCATAAACTGATAAATGCACCTTTTGCCTTTTTTGACATACTGTGACTCTGAGGTACAACCTTATTATATTGTGTATCCGACTGTATGTGTGTGAATGAACTATTTGTGTTTGTATTTTATTTGTTTTGCAAACTCTGACAGGTTATGTCATAACAACACTATGTCAGAAGAGTGAAAGAGTGAAAAAGATTGAACATAAGACACTTGTTGAGATTTAAGGAGACATGCAACATAATCTTAGATGTATCAATATTTCAACATATTTTCCAGTAAACTACTTCCTGTACTTTCCCAAGTTAGAACGTCACTACTTTGCTTTAGAGGTTACTTTGCTTACTAACTAACTTGACATTTGCTCTGCTGTAATAATAATAATAATAATAATAATAATAATAATACATTTTATTTCTATAGTGCTTTTCAGGACACTCAAAGACACTTTACAGTAAAAGCAGAAGTTATGTACATTTAAAACAGATAACATAAATAGCATAATATATAATATATGAACAGTAAAACATGTGGTGCAGAAGTACATAAGTGCAAGGGGCGACCATTTAAATAACAAATTAACAAACAGCAGCAGGTGTAATATAACATTATTTTATGTTAAAAACTAGTCTAAAAAGGTGGGTTTTGATAGGTGATTTGAAAGAGTCCATGTTGCTACAATCTCGGATGTGTATGGGTAAGGAGTTCCATAGGGAGGGGACTGCAATGGTGAAAGCTCTGTCGCCCCATGTACGGTGCTTGGTCCTGATTTGAGGTGAGAGGAGGTTAGTGTCAGAGGAGCGGAGGTTGCAGGAGGGACTGTGGTGGTGGAGCAGGTCTGTGAGAAAGGAAGGGCCTGTGTTATGGAGGGCTTTATGTGTGAGGAGGAGGATTTTGTACTGAATGCCTTGGGGAACAGGAACCCAGTGAAGATTCTAGAGCACAGAGGTGATGTGGTCACGGGTGCGTGTGTGGGTGAGGAGGCGGGCAGCAGGGTTTTGGATATATGAACCATAGAAGATGCTATTGCAGCAGTCAGTTCTGGATGTAATGAAGGCGTGGATCAATGAGTTTTCTACTAGGTGTTGCCCTGTTCTATGCAGATTTGCTTGTAGTGAGATCAACTTGTGTATCATATTTACGTTTTACTTTCCGCATGGCTGCTCATGTACACTCTTGGGTCTTAAGTCTACTCCTTTCAGACTGACACAGACCTCAGTAGTGTAGGTGCATGTAAATGGGTCAATATACGTCATTTGACCTGCCTGTTATAGCGTATGGAGGGAAACTGAAACATTATTTGATAGATAATGTAATATAATTTGTGATTTAGAAGTAATTTGTATGAAATTAAATGTGGATTATTAAATGCATGCAGACCTAAGCAATATTGTGTTCATCATCATTCTCTCCATAATGTAAATTATGACATGTGGGGGCCCAAACGTGACATTGGAAATAATAAGTTTAAATAATTAGTTAGCATGATAAATTAAAAATATATGAATATATCAAAATTTTGCCAAAAAATAATTTATTTCTACATTTCCATTTGTTTATTTATTTAATTTAAGGTTTATTTATTTAACGTTTATGTATTGTCACACAATTTATTTATCTCCACAATTTCTACAATCCATTGTCACACAGGAGATGTGGAGAAATAAATGTGATAATACATTTTATTTATTTATTTATTTATTTCATTGCCGCCTTCGACACCATCAATTACCTCGTATCATACTGCCCTCGCCTGGCTTAACTCCTACCTTTCTAAAAGACACCAATGCATCTTCCTAAACAACTGCAAGTCCTGCACCAGCCCAGTCTCCCATGGTATCCTGCAGTGCTCAGTGCTTGGTCCCCTCCTCTTCATCATCTACATCCTTCCACCAGATCCTTTGCTGTCATGGCCTCCACTGTCACTGCTATGCTGATGACACTCAACATTACAGCTTCTCCAAATCCATAACCCAAACCACCCTCACCACTTCACTCAAAATGGACAGCTTCAATGTCACCCCCTCCCCCATATTAATAACAATTTATATGTAAATAAATAAACAAGAAAAATTGGATTCCAGAATCACTGATGGTGCTTTCAGACGAAAAGCGAAGTGAGCGTTTGGGGCAGTGAGTTTACATACAAAGCGACGTGAAGGCAACGCGAAGGAATTCGTGTGAGTTGAATATTTTCAACTCAAGCGAGAAATTCGCGTGACGCTGAGTTGCGATAGCCTATCAACTTTGAGATTGTCCGTACATCACCGACAGCTTCAGAGCGTTGTGTGCAGAGGGCCATGCAGAGCGGGCGATTGAAAATTTGCTGGCTGGCTGAGATCTGCTAAATTTGGGCTAGAGGAGCAGGGAACAGCACTCCAGCTTTTGGACAATTAAACACCCATGGTCGGACTGGATTCTGCTCTGACAACTACTGCGTTTGCTCGCGGGAGGAGCTCGGAGTAAACTGCTTTTATTAAATTAGCTTTTTACTTTAGTTTTTGGGATTACAACATTGATTTATCTTCACTCAAGCTTCTCAGCATCTAGGTTCCGTGCACATCCGGTTCCAGTGTGTGTTTGGCACTACTTCATATTTATTTAAAAACGGACAAAACTGGACATTGGGAGAAAAGAAAGTGAGGAGGTTCTTTACTGATCGATCCAAACTCCATTCAGAAAACAAAAAAGTTGTTGTCCTGCTGTCTTGCTGTCAGACCTGACAAAGCATGAATTTATATGTTTAACAATTCTGCATCATATTGTAGTTATTTCAGCATCAGTTTGATCCATTTATTGCTATTTAATCACAGCAAAATGTTTACTTTGGGTTCATACAGCTGTAGTAATGGCAAGTTGTTTTTGTTCGCGTTATCGTGTTGTGTGTGAACACTCCAGCGATGTCCAGCGATAAAACCCCCGTGAGGAAAGCATTGCGTGGATTAAATTCGCGTTTAGACTGAATGCCGCATTACTCTCCCTTTAAGTTTCAGGTAAACGGCTCCTCTTACTGACAGATGAGATGCTCTTAATTGTATTATTCTAAACTCATTTCCCTATAAGTATTGGCACTTTGCTAAATTTCCCAGGCCCAACTTTCTTGCCCAACCAATAAATCCTAGAAGAGAGACTGCTGATCCTGCCACAATTTTCATTTCCTGGCAGTTTGGAGATATGGTACATTCCAGGGCACTGAGATATTTGTGTGGCTTGGGAAAGGTTATGACCACATGCCTTATATTGAATGATAGTATAATGACATTATTTGTACAAATGACTGTATGTAACTAAGCCAAGTGTCCCCATCTAGAAATTCATGCACGTCACAGTGTTTTGCAAAGCCCAACCGAACAACAAGCTGATATTCCTGATTTTTCCAGACGCAGTAGGTGACCACAAATTCCTTTCCAAATTCTTACGATTGTTAACCTGCTATCTCACTCACTTTTCAAAATCCCAGAGCCAGTCAGGTAAAGAGAGTCGGGTAAAAACAGGAGTAACTGTATAATGTTTTGAAAGGGAAGTTGAGACTTTTTGAATTGAAACCCAGCAGTTGTTTGTCTGACAATCTCATGGTGATGACGAGAGTCCAGGAAGTTATACTGTGCCCAGCATAGAAATAGTTCCAGCACACCCTGTAAAAAACCACAACTTCTTGTTTTTACAGATTAAAGGCACAGGAAATAATGTTTTAATTTGTGAAGTTTGGAAATGTTGGTAGTAACTGAGAGAGCGAGGCGAGAGCTTCAGTCTTTATGCTAAGCTAACCTGGTTCTGGTTTCATATTTACCACACAGACACGAGAGTGGTCTTGGTGCTCCCAATGGCCCGTCAGGGGCAGGCTGTTAATACACACAGACATACGACCACCCACTACTTTCCCTTGGAGTGAATCGTTTCAAGGAATGTGCATGTTTATTAGCAAGAGTGGAACGGAAAGAATTGCTCCCCAATAGGGCTTTGAACAGTCATAAACCTGACTTTGTAGATGCTACAAACATGATGATAGCGGTTTGTTTGCATATTATTTGTCTATAAATAATTATGAGATCCATGCCTTGGGGCAATGATTGATGCAGGCCGGAACATATAAAAAAGAGTGCTTCAAAGTCATCACAAGTTTTGCACTTTTAGACTGCAGTGTCTTGTGTTTATTGGCATTCTGCTAAATTTAAAGAAGATGAAAATAAAGGTCACAGTGTGCTTTGAGCTAAGTGCTAATGTTAGTGTGCTACATAAAATGACAATGCTAACATGCTGATGTTTAGCAGGTGTAATGTCTACCATATTAACCAATTTATTTTAGCATGTTAGCATGCTTACATTGCTAATTACTAGTGAGCATGGACTACACCTGAGAAAGATGGGAATGTCATTAACTTTGCAGGAATTTAGTCATAAACCAAAGTATCAGTAAAATATATTTTTGAACC